TGTTGTGGTGACCCCCAACCATAAAATTATTTTTGTTGCTACTTCATCACGGTTATTTTGCTGCTGTGATGAATCGGGCGGCCTCTGTGAAAGGGTCGTTCAAGCCCCAAAGGGGTTGCGACCCACAGGCTGAGAACCGCTACCCCCTAGGCCAACAGTCCTCAGCTTAGGGTTTTTTTGTTTTTTTTTTGAGAGGCTGTAGGGTGGGTGGGAAAGAGTTTTTCTGAAGCATGGTAACCGCTTGACTTTGTTTTTAAAAGTCTCCACAAGCACAGGGCATGGTGGGCACCCAGGCTACGTGTCCCGTGTGGCAAGTATTAGGGAGAAGTTGATCTGCAAGTACCGGTGGGTAGCCCATTCCCAGGTGGGCCCATAGACCTCACGGGTTAACCCCTCCCAGCGACTGCCTTGTGAGGATGAGGCTCTGGGGTCTTGCAGACCAGAGCTGGTGCAGCCGGCTCTCCGCCTCGCCATGGTTCCCGTTCTACAGGTGAGCGAACCGAGCCCCCAGAGAGCCAGGCCACTGGGCCCCGGCCCCGTAGCTGCGCCAGGGACACAACTGGGCCTGGAAACCAGCTCTGCGTGATGCCGCCGTCCCGGGGCTGCGCCTCGGGTGTCTCAGCGGCCCCCCGCGTTGTGTCCTTGCAGGGTTCGAGTTCTTCGAGGCCAGCGCCAAGGAGAACGTCAACGTGAAGCAGGTCTTCGAGCGCCTCGTGGACGTCATCTGCGAGAAGATGAACGAGGCCCTGGAGCCCGGCTCCGGCCAGGGCAGCAACGGGAAAGGACCGGCCCCGGGGGACGCGCCAGCCCCCCAGCCCAGCGGCTGCAGCTGCTAGAGATAACCCCACCCACCCACCCCAGCTGTCCCCCTGCTGCCTTGGCGGGGGCTTTGACTGTGACTCGGGTCACAAGGGCTGTCCCCAAGCCCAGGGCGCCCCTCCACTCCCGTCAGCTGCCCCACCGCCCTGCATGGTCACCCCTTGTCAAGGCCGCCTGCCTGCCCAAGCAGCCCCTCGCCCCCCCATCAGAGCCGCAGACCCTGGGACTCTGCCCTGCAGGCCGAGCCTGGGGGTGACCATGTGCACAAGCTTGCTGGCTCTGGAGCATGGCAGCTGGGTGACTGGGTAGCAGAGGCGTCCACTGGGTGGAGCGGCGGCCGCAGTGTCTTCTGGGTTAGAAACATTTTCCGAGGCTCACACGGTGCTGAGTGAGCTTCAAGGGGGTCCCTCTTTGCCCACCTAGGAGTGGGTGTGGAAGACAGTCCCTCAGCTTTCTCAGGGCGCCCTGGCCTGGGCCCCAACCACCACCTCAGCTCCCCAGGCTCAGGGCATGGTGGTGACCTGGCCTCCACCGACCTCTCCCTCTGGCCTGCAGCCCCTCTGCAGAGAAAGCCGCATGCCAACCGCTTTGCCTGGTGGAAAGGGACCAGAGTCAGCTACGCCCTTCACTTCAGGAACCCCAGAAGTGCCTTTCTGAGCTTCCCCATAGGCCCCGGCCCCCACGGCCCTGGCATTGTCTCTGCTCCTACTGGTGTGGATTCACAGGGCCCTGGGGCAGCTTGCAGGCCTGGCAGAGAGGCCCCAGCTCCCCACACTCCTGGCAGGGGCCCCTTGCCAGGAGATGCCAACAGCCAGGAGACTGGGCCGCCTGCCCAGGCCTGCCTTCCTCCCTCCCCAGGTCCCTCCTGGCTGGGCCGGTTTGAGGCAAGGTCTTTCCAAATCTCACATCCTGCCAGAACCGGAGATTGAGCAATGTTACCGCGGCTTGCCCTTACTGGAGACTGATGCAAGGACATGGGCTTCTCCCACTGGAGGACCCTTGAAGATCTAGTGCCCATGCCCTGCCATCAACAGGGCCCCGCGAAGGGATGTTTGGTGTGCATGGTGGGGCCACGTCGCAAGGCCGTGCTGAGGATGAGGCCCAGCCAGAGGGACGAGGAGGGCGTTGATAGCCCTGGCACTCCATGGATGCAGCTCTGGAGGGTCAGGAGCCCTGTACCCATGGGGGTTGGGCAATGAGTGACCCTGGTTTGGGGGAATTCATGAGGGGGCCCCAGCTGTCAACCAGAGTCAGAGGTTAGGCGTAGTTTGGGGGGGGGGTGTCTATGTCTTGACCCCCAGCTCAGCCGTCTGTCTTTGTGTTCCCACTTCCCTGACGTCCACTCCCAGGTGGTGGCCATTTTCCCAGCCACAGTAGCCAATATGGCTCCCTCCGGGTGGTGGCTTCAAAGAGCTCAAGCCACCACCTCTTGCTTGGTGGGGAAGGCCAAGTTCAACATAGCTCTTGCCCGATGGAAGAGTCCCTCAGGGACCGCCCTCTAGTCCATTCTGGCTCTTAATGACCCTACGGGGCAGGGTAGGACTCCCCCTGTGGGTTTCTGAAACAGCCACTCCTGGTGGCCATGGACAACCTCGTCTTTCTGCGGAATGGCTGGTTTATTCAAACTCTGACTTTGGGGTTTGCCGTCCAAAGCGTGACCCACTGTGCCACCGGGGCTCCCTGGGTGGTGCAAATTGTGACTGTGCCTCGTTGCTAACTAAGAGGCCGGAGGTCCACCCGGAGGCACCATGCGGAAAAGGGCCTGGCTTTCTGCTTCTGAGAGACATGCTACTGATGACCGCGGAGCTCAGCCGTATCAGGACACACGGGGCTGCCTGACCCAATGGCAACTGGTTCAAGAGGTGGTTTGGATTTGTTTGGTTTTTTTGCCTTTGTATCATCTCCACTGTCAGTGAAGGAGCCACCGTGACACAAGGAGCCAAGTGCCAATCGCCAAGTTCAGCTGCACCAACCGCTGCTCTACGGGAGCAAGATGAGTCTGCCTGCTCCCAGAAAGATGGGCATGCCCCAACCCTGTGGAGCAGTTCTCTGTCCCACGGGATCTCTCGAGTCAGAATCCTGGTTGGTTTTGGGGGGTGGCTTTGAGCTGCCATCAAGCTGGCTCGATGGTGACCCACACACCTGCTGACAGGAAGCACCTTCCACATGCTCCGTGGTCCATCCGACTGATGTCATGTGTAGCGTCTTTGTTGGGTTTTTTTTCCCACCCTTTATTCCTCGTCCGACTCTCCCTACTCTCAGGAACGCTGCGGAAACCTGTTCAGCAATATAGCAACCCACAGCCCCCACTGCCAGGCGGGCTGTGCCGTGCATTGCAGTACACCAGGCGAAGCTGGAACTCGGTCTTCCAAATGGAAGGGGGAGAGGCTCTAGGTCAAATTGTTTCTAGTGGACCCCACTCGCCCTTTGTACTCGAATTCAATGAATGACCTGGAAAACTCAAAGTGAGGGTATCGGAACAGCTAGGGAAGCAACCACAACTTTTAGTTGCTAAAGCATGAAAACCAAAGTAGGCTTAAAACAAAAAAGGCTTCCTGAGATACAGCGTGGCTTGGCAAGATTCTATCTGCCAGTCTTTTCCCTAAGTTGCTTCCAGGAAAAAGAGAGAACTTTTTTTTACACGGGGCTATGTGTATGCCTGTGTGATGAAAACCAGCTTTGGCTGCTGCTTGTATCTGGCCTAGCCTAAGATGGTTGTTTACAAGACTTTAAGACCAACATTTCTCCTAAAAGTAATACAAGTTTTTGTTTTCTGGGAGGGAGGAGGGAGGGGTGGGGAGTTCTTCCTAAAGGTGGTTTCAGAGGATCTGAGACTGATGTCCCGGCAGATCCCTGGGAGGATGGAACCTCACAGTTTACAGACGGGAAGCAACCCCAAGACCACGTGACCCAACCTGCCCAACTCTGGGGGGCTGGGTAGGTAGCTGCCTGACGCCCTCCTGATCGCTCTGGTTGAGCGTCATCCCCAGGCAGGTCGGGTGGGCATTGGCCACTGCCGTGGTGGTTCAGGCTCCACCATTTTTCTCTTGGGCTTCTCCCAGATCACAGTTTTACTCCATTTAGAAACAGCTGACGTTTGGTCTGAATGTCAAGGTGCTCATCTGCTTCTGTTTACTCCTTGGCCAGCCCTGAAACACACTGTGCACGGAGCCAGGGGGCGGTCTGGTAACCCTTCCGGTGTCCACCGTTCCCCCCTGCCCCGTTCGCAGAGTCATACACTTTGCTGAGAGAAATGAAAGCTGTCGGACTGAAGTGTGCGCGTCGTCTTTGACTTCCATTAGCCAAGTCGGGTTTCCGGGAAGATGGTGGTGCATGCCAGCCTGCTGCATAGTCGGGATGGTCGCTTGAGGACGGGGCAGAACCAGCATAGGCTCAGGCGTGGCGTTGCCTCATGGCCTTGACTCTGGAGAGCTCAGCTGTGTAGGGAGACCCAAGAAAGTCTGTGCTTCCCACGCCTGAGTCAGATCTGCCCCAAGTTCGCCATGGTTACCGAATTCCCGAGGCCCAGGCCTAAGTCCTCCCCACAGCGCTCCAGGCCTGGTCTTGTCTGCCCCGTCACTTCCCCAGTCTAGTCTCCCTACTTTCCCCTCAAAACTCCACCCATATCGATCTCACCGTGGCTTCGATACATCAGGTCCTGGCCTCTGGGCCTTTGCACTGGCTATTCCCATTGGCCTGGAGCACTCCCCTCACCGCCTTTGCAGGCCTTTTGTGACCCTCTCTGTTTAGGACTGTGACACCACGCCATCCCTCCCAGCCTCCGCCCAGGTCACAGTCCTGAGACAAGGCCCAGGCTCAGATAGTTTGAGAAAGTGCACAGGTGGCTCTACTGTACAGCCAGGTATGACAGGAAGTGGGGGAGAGGGGAGCAAGTTCTAGGACCGCAGAGAGCAGCTGGCTCATCCAGAATGCGACGTTCCTCGGCACGTCACAGGAGATGGAGGCAGAACCCGGCGCAGAGGTTCTTCAACGTGTGTCCCCAGACAGCGGATCCCATCACCCAGGGCCTTGTTAGGATGGCAGATTCTTGGACACCACTCCAACAAAAACAAAAAACTCGCATCAAGTTGCTTCCAACACAGTGATTGTGTTAGTCCGGGTAGACTAGAGAAACAAATCCACTGAAACTCATATGTGTATAAGAAAGAGTTTTAGATAAAGGGTAATTCTACATTAAGAAAGCATCCCAGGCCAGTCCAAACCCCTAAGTCCGATATTAGCTCATATGTCCAGTACCAATCTATAAAGTCCTCTTCAGACTCAAGAAACACATGCAATGATGCCGAATGCAGGACGGTCACAGGCAGTGGGTGGAAAGTCTTTGGATCCAGTGGTGGTGTAAGCATCTCAGTGCCGGCAGAGGTCTGGCTGCATCAAGATGGGGCCATGTGGCGTCTCCAGCTCATGATACTAGCGTAGTTCCATGTGTCTTGTCAGCTGCATTGTCTCCCAGGGAGTGAGCCAAGAGAGAGAGAGAGAGAGAGAGAGAATCCCACCTCCAAGAAGGAATACAGGATTTCCCAGAAAGCCACACCCACACAGAGGTCTCATAGGTTATATCTTGATTGACAGGCCAGACTCCACCCCTTCAGTCATAATCCTCTCAAATTGACACCAAGTTATGTAACAACCACAGCGATCCTATAGGACAGAGGAGAATTACTCCTTTGGGTTTCTGAGCCCGTAGAACTTCCTAGGAGCAGAAAGCTTCTCCTCCTGCAGATCAACTGGTGGGTAGCCCACTACACCACCAACATGCTAGGTTACTCCCGCCCCAAGGCCTACCCAATCAGAAGCTTTACAGGTGAGGCCCAGTCACCTGCATTTTAACCAACCCTCCGGGGGATTCTAATGCGGGGTCCCCTTTGAGAATTACTAGACTATGAAAGGGACCTCAGGAGAGGTGACAACCAAACATGATGTGTGCACCTAGGGAGTCCCAATTCAAAGGAGGAGGAACACATCGTTGAGTCCATTGGGAAAATGCAGTGATAGCCGTTGTCTTGCATGTGATAATGGCATTCTGGTGCTCACTCAGCACACACGTTATTAGAGGTGTAATCTGCCATGCGGAAGGGGAAATGAGGCCCTCCCGGGGGTTTGTTAGCACACATTCTCCGGAGAGGAAAAGGGAAGAGAGGGAACAAAAGCCCCTGGGGATTGTTCATCCTGCTGGTGGACCTGTAGGACGCGGTTAGGTGCCTTCTCTCGGCTTCTGTGAATGGTTTAGGTCACAAAGCTCCCTGAGGACGAAGGCTAGTGCCACGACATCCCAGGGGTTAGCAGGTAAGAAGGGCTCACGTGACGAAACAAGGAATCTGGGTGGACAGGGCTTCCGGAGGGTTTTATTGTCAGCTGCCCTTTGCCAGGAGAGCCCAGAAACATACACATTTGAGTCAACTCCACAGCAGGCGACTCCCTCTGCCCAGTGCCCTGTGCTTCCAGGCTGCATCGTCAGCCCAGCTTGGCAAACAGCAGCCACGTAGCAAGAATTCCTGGTACCTGAAACGGGAGAAGGGAGAAACATTGAACCAACTCCCGGCATTTCCAAACCAGGATTAAGGCAGAGATCCGAGTCGGGGGAGATGGACAGTTCCCTGCTCCAGAAGACCAAGAGCTCTTTAGCCTTCAGGATCGTAGCGGTAGGGGGAGAGTAGATCCTTTATCATCATTCAGATTAGCCATTTGGTTCCCTCAGATCTTTCCTCTACGTTCTTCTATTCTTTCTTTTATTTCTTCTATACCCTGCTCTCCAGCTTCCTGTTGAGTTTGGCCAATGGGATTTATTTCTTCTATACCCTGCTCTCCAGCTTCCTGTTGAGTTTGGCCAATGGGATTGACCAGCAAGACACTGGAGGGCAGGAGGAGGGACAGCTTAGA